TATTGTCAAGTGCTATTCAGCAGAAGCTTTCTTAACTCACCACCATGTCACTGATTGCTGCAATTAACTTGCCAACTGATGCCAAGGAAATGCTGACCACTGAGCCAGTGGGCCTTTTTCTAGCACCTCTGTACATTTCTCTTCTCACCAGTTTCTTGGCAAGAATCAGGTTTGTTCGCTTCCAAACCTGTTTTGTCATTTGCACTTGTTATTGTAATTACATAATCAATGAAATATCATGAGAACAAATGAACTGTATGTGTAAAAAGAAAATCAAATTATGTCTGGAAAAAAATTCTTGATAAAAGATGGCTAAAAAATATTGCGTCAGGTCAGGCATAGTGACTCATGTCTATAATCCCAGCAATTTGGGAAGTCAAAACAAGAGGATCACTTGAGCCCAGAAGTTCAAGACCATCCTGGGCAATATAGCCCAATACAGCTAGACCTCATCTCTAAAAAAATTAAAAAAAAAAAATTAGCTGGGCGAGGTGGCCCATGCCTTTAGTCCTAGCTCCTTGGGAGGCTGAGGCAGGACAATTGCTTGTGACCAGAGTTTGGTCTGCAATGAACTATGATCACCCACTGCTTGCCAGCCTGGGCAACAGAGTGAGACCTTGTCCCAAAAAAATATATTGCTGTCACCGGGCACGGTGGCTCATGCCTGTAATCCCAGCACTTTGGGAAGACAAGGCAGGTGGATCACCTGAGGTCGGGAGGTCGAGACCAGTCTGACCAACATGGAGAAACCCCATCTCTACTAAAAATACAAAATTAGCCAGGCATGGTGGCACATGCCTGTAATCCCAGCTACTCAGGAGTCTGAGGCAGGAGAATTGCTTGAACCCGGGAGGCGGAGGTTGTGGTGAGCCTAGATTGCGCCATTGCACTCCAGCCCGGGCAACAAGAGCGAAACTCCATCTCAAAACAAATCAAAACAAAAATCCATATATGTGTGTGTATGTATATATATACTATACGGATATCTATGTATCTATATATATAGATATATAGATATATAATATATATATTACTGTCAAATCGTGCGTGGACAAGAAAGAAGTAAAATATTTGCAGGAAAAGTATAAAAATCCCAAATGCACTAAAATCAGGCGGCTTTGCATGCATCTTTAAGTTTGCACCCACTGTAAAGAAACTGCAATTTGAGGACAGCGAATTTTGCGGGTGGTTTATGCAAGATAATCCATGTTGGAACTCGAGTCGGCAGACCAACTCTGCAAACATAAGGCCCCATATCAAACTGTTGGTGAGGGAATATACATTTTATGGTTTAAATTAAAATAAAATATTTATATGCATCTTTTGGCATTTAATGCCTTAGCTGAGTTTCCTATTAAACAAGTAATTACCACTCTGGTGATTGAATACTAGGGTTTCTCCTCTACAAATACAAGGGATTTTCCCTCAAATTATTACTCACTCTGTGACCTCAGGTGATTTATTTAAACTTTCCCAATGACACTGTCTTGTCTGTGAAATTAGACTGAGCCCCTAACTCATAATGGGTGTGTGAGGCTTGAAGAAGACAATGTGTATTAAAGTGTTTGCTCAACATGAAGGCACCAATCAAATGTTAATAATTCATCATCATTTTTGGAACCTCCTGCACTGAGATTCATTCAAATCACAAAGCAAAGAACTCACAAGGCTAGAAACACTTATGGCTCCCGCAGACTCGCCAAAGATGGTCACAGAGCTGGGGTCCCCACCGAAGAACTCGATGTTCTTCTGGACCCAGGACAGAGCAGCCACCTGGTCCTTGAAGGCCCAGTTCCCCGGCACGTGCTGATCCCATGTGCTGAGGACAAGAGGCAGGGTGAGAATTCTCAGTCAGCCATGGTGTGTTTCCCACTGCCCTGGAAGTTCTCTGCAGAGGTTGTGGGCAGGCATCAGTGGGGAGGGGACTGAGAGTCAGAGGCCTGGAGGAGCTGGGGAAACTGGGCTCAGTTCTCATGCTTTGCTGGGATTTGGATTTCTTGGAGAATTTGATGAAAGCTATGCACCTGAGAAGAAATGCACATACAATATTGTAGGTGCAATTTCAAGTATTCATGGGCTCCTCAGAATCCATGAATCCCAATCCATGAATCCTATGTTGCCCAGGCTGGTCTGGAATCCAAGAATCCGATCCTGAGAGTTGGTCTGTACTAGAAAGCAAGGGTTTCCTGGGCACAGAATTTTCCATGAAACTAAATTAATGTTAGTCATAATAACAATAACAAGCCAGACGCGGTGGCTCACGCCTGTAATCCCATCACTTTGGGAGGCCGAGGCGAGCGGATCACAAGGTCAGGAGATCGAGACCATCCTGGTTAATACGGTGAAACTCCATCTCTACTGAAAAAACAAAAAACAAAAAAAACCAAAAATATTAGCTGGGAGTGGTGGCAGGCACCTACAGTCCCAGCTATTCAGGAGGCTGAGGCAGGAGAATGGCATGAATCCGAGAGGAGGAGCTTGCAGTGAGCCGAGATTGTGCCACTGCACTCCAGCCTGGGAGACAGAGCGCCGTCTCAAAACAAAACAACACAACAACAGCAGCTGCAGCAAGTACAGGACACTGTTCGAAGGGCTTTAAGGCTAATAATCCTACAACCCTCACAGCTATGTTGTAGGTGGTGCTGGTTTTTCTCCCTTTGCTTCTTTGGGTCTTCTCCACCCTTCTCTGCCCTGCCCCCGAAAAGCTGACCTCTAGGAATGGCATCACCCAGGCCTCAGCTGTGTGCCATGAGGGTGGGCTAGAGAGAGACTGCGATGTTTATCCCACCACCCCATGCTCCATCTCTGATGGGAAGTGTTTGGGCAGAGGCTGCTTTTTTCCACAATAGCAGCTCATGCCAACTCCCTTCCACTAAACCTGTGAGCCTGCTGTCAGGACACCAATGGATACATCAACTCTTTAATTCAGGCACAGAGAGGTTAAACCCCCTTGCCCAAGAGCTAGAAAGCTGCAGTTTTGGGATCCCACGCCCCAATCCTGCTCCCCCTGCCAATTGCATGTTTTCCAGGATTGAATTAATGGGAGGACAAATGAAACAAGTGGAAATGCCATAGAACCAAAGAAATGTCTAGACTGAAAGCATGCATGCAGTGCACACCATATATGCACGTCATCCTGGGGCACATTCTACTCCCCTCCATTTTCCAGTTCCCCAGACTGCTCCTTCCCCTGGTCCCCTCCACTGTCCGTGACCACTGAGCTGGCTCTGACTCCACCTTCTCTCTCCCAGGACCCTGCATCTGGTCAAGAGTCAAGCCCTGCCAATTTCACCTCCGTTCTACTGTAGCTCCCACCCTGGACCCCGTTTCTTCATCTCTGTTTATCCTGAGAAGCATTATACCTTAATGGTTACCATCTCAGCCTCGAGCACGGGATTCACAGTCTGGCCACTTATTATATGGGTGACCTTGGGCAAGTCACTTAACCTGCTTTGCCTCAATGGTTCTCACATCTAAAATGGGGATAATGATAGTGCCCACTCCACATGGCTGTGAAGATTGACAGCGCCAGGCAGACAATAAGCATGTCAAACATACATGTTATATACATGTTAGCTATTGCTTTTGTGTTTGAATGACCCCATGGCATGCATCAAGACAGTGCCTCCCAGTGGGGCTCCCCATCTGCAGCTGGACACCCCTGGCTCACCCTCCACTCGGCTTCAGAGTGAGATTCCTGGTAAACTACTCTGAGAAAGGTAATCCTGGCCCCTCAGTCTGTGTTGGATAAAGCCCAAACTCTATGTACAGCCTGGCATTCAAGGTTCACTCGTTCTTAGGTCGCTCGGCATTGTCTCCGGCTACTGCATGCCTGCTCCTTGGGGATCTGGGGTGTCGATTACTTGGAGAGACTCACGTGAAGAAGCCAAATATTCCCAGCCGGTACTGGATGACCACAACCAGCACGTCCTCATAGGCAGCCAGAGCGGACCCATCGAAGATGGAGGCTGAGCCAGTCTTGAAGGCACCCCCTGGGAACCACACCAAGACCTGAGGAGGGGAGAGGAGTGTCCAGTCAACCAGGAGGCACCACCTCCCCTCCCCATGCAGGTGAGGCACACGTTCTTAACACCAAATAGAAATGTCCCACTTGCTAAGCGGGGTACGAGGTTTTGACTCCCACTGCCACTGACCAGCTGTGTGACCTTGGGAAGATTACTTAGCCTAAAGCTCATTTTTCTTATCTGTAAAATGTGAAGAAGGAAAGTATCTCACTAATGAAGTTATCATGAGGTTTAAACAAAATTCTGCATCTAAAGCTCATAGAACAATGAGCAATAGCACATTTCAAGTTTCAAGTGCTCAGAAATAGCTCACTAAATACCAGTGAGCCTGTGACCCACAGGAAGATGGAAACATTGTAAGCATGTATAAGAGCAAAAGCAGCTCAAGGTGTTTCAGAGAAAAGCTCTCAGAGAGAGGAGAGGAAGGGAGGGGAGGGAAGGGGAGAAAAAGAGAATGGAGGAGGTGATGGGAGTGGAGGGGGAGGAAAAGAGGAGGAGGAGGAGAAGAAAGAGGAGGAGGAAGGGAGAAGGAGAAGGAGAAAGGATGAAAAATGAAGAAAGAAAGAAGAGAAAGAAGAAAGGTCAGGCGCAGTGGCTCATGCCTGTAATCCCAGCACTTTGGGAGGCTGATGTGGGCAGATTGCCTGAGCTCAGGAGTTTGAGAACACCCTGGGCAATATGGTGAAACCCTGTCTCTACTAAACCAAAAATTAGCCGGGCATGGTGGCAGGCACCTGTAATCCCAGCTAATCAGGAGGGTGAGGCACAAGAATCCCTTGAGCCTGGGTGGCGAAGGTTGCAGTGAGCCAAGTTTGCACAACTGCACTTCAGCCTGGGAACATAGCAAGACTCTGTCTGCGCCCCCCACCTCCCCCCAAAAAAGAAAAAAAAACCGGGAAGAGTAAAAATTGTATTGATTAGAAAAATTGGGACCAGGAAACATAAGACATTATTCAAGTGGCATTATCTCTATTTATACATTTAATAACAAATCCCTTCCATTCTCTTTCTTGAGGTCATATTAGAGATTACAGCCTTTGGGGCAGGTAAAGAGAAGAAAGCCACAGAAGAAAGGGGAGGTAGACAAAGTGCTTTCTTTGGTGCCAGAATCTAGCGCCTACTGTGTGTACAACATGGAGCAAGTCATTTATGCCCTTCCTCTGCCTCATCTTCTCCATCTGTGGAATGGGTCCAAATCGTCCTTACCCAGTTAAATCAGGTGATGTACTGTGCCTGGTACACAGCAAGCATTTAATAGACATTACTGTTATGATACAAGACAGCCAGCTTCCCCTGGCAGAGGCATGGGGAATGGAAGAGGATGCGAGGGTTTGGCTAAAAAAATAGAATATGCCTTTCCCCCACTCACTGACATAGGGATATTTTATATTCTTAAATGAAACACTTAACATGATTACCTGACTGTCTTAATTATAAACAGAAAAGTTGGAGGATAAAATTATCCTTTTTGAAAAAAGAGAGTGCGCCTAAAATGGCCAAATAGGAACAGCTCCAGCCTCCAGCTCCCAGTGTGAGCGACACAGAAGACGGGTGACTTCTGCATTTTCAACTGAGGTACCAGGTTCGTCTTACTGGGGCATGTCGGACAGTTGGTGCTGGTCAGTGGGTGCAGCCCAACCAGCAAGAGCTGAAGCAGGGCGAGGCATCATCTCACCTGGGAAGTGCAGAGGGGAAGAGAATTCCCTTCTAGCCAAGGGAAACTGAGACACACAACACCTGGAAAATAGGATAACTTCCACCCTAATACTGCACTTTACCTAGGGTCTTAGCAAATGGCACACCAGGAGATTATATCCGACGCCTGGCCCAGAGGGTCCCACGCCCACAGAGCTTCCCTCATTGCTAGCACAGCAGTCTAAGATCTAACTGCAAGGCAGCAGCGAGGCTGGGGGAGGGGCGGCCGCCATTGCTGAGGCTTAAGTAGGTAAACAACGCCACAGGGAAGCTTGAACTGGGTGGAGCCCACCACAGCTCAGGGAGGCCTGCCTGCCTCTGTAGACTCCACCTCTGGGGACAGGGCATAGTGAAACAAAAAGCAGCAGAAACCTCTGCAGATGTAAATGCCCCTGTCTGACAGCTTTGAAGAGAGCAGTGGTTCTCCCAGCATGAAGGTTTACATCTGAGAACGGACAGACTGCCTGCTCAAGTGAGTCCCTGATCCCCTGAGTAGCCTAACTGGGAGACATCCCCCACTAGGTGCAGACTGACACCTCACACCTCACACAGCTGGGTACACCTCTGAGATGAAGCTTCCAGAGCAAGAATCAGACAGCAACACTTACTATTCAGCAATATTCTATCTTTCACAGCCTCCGCTGCTGATACCCAGGCAAATAGGGTCTAGAATGAACCTCAAACAAAATCCAACAGACCTGCAGCTGAGGGTCCTGACTGTTAGAAGGAAAACTAACAAACAGAAAGGACACCCACACCAAAACCCCATCAGTATGTCACCATCATCAAAGACCAAAGGCAGATAAAAACCACAAAGATGGGGAAAAAGCAGTGCAGAAAAACTGGAAATTCAAAAAAATCAGAGCACATCCCCCACTCCAAAGGAACACAGCTCATCGCCAGCAATGGAACAAAGCTGGATGGAGAATGACTTTGACGAGTTGAGAGAAGAAGGCTTCAGACAATCAAACTTCTCAGAGCTAAAGGAGGAACTAAGTACCCAGAGCAAAGAAATTAAACCCTTGAAAAAATAATGGAAGAATGGATAACTAGAATAATCAATGCAGAGAAGTCCATAAACGAACTGATAGAGATGAAAACCATGAATCGAGAACCAGGTGACAAATGCACAAGCTTCAGTAACTGACTCAATCAACTGGAAGAAAGAGTATCAGTGATTGAAGACCAAATGAATGAAATGAAGTGAGAAGGGAAGTTTAGAGGAAAAAGAGTAAAAAGAAATGAACAAAACTTCCAAGAAATATGGGATTATGTGAAAAGACCAAATCTACATCTGATAGGTGTGCCTGAAACTGATGGGGAGAATGGAACCAAGTTGGAAAACACTCTGCAGGATATTATCCAGGAGAACTTCCCCAACCTAGCAAGGCAGGCCAATATTCAACTAGAGGAAATATAGAGAACGCCACAAAGATACGCCTCGAGAAGAGCAACTCCAAGACATATAATTGTCAGATTCATTGAAGTTGAAATGAAGGAAAACATGTTAGGAGCAGCCAGAAAAAAAGGTCGGGTTACCCACAAAGGGAAGCCCATCAGAATAACAGCAGATCTCTCAGCAGAAACTCTACAAGCCAGAAGAGAGCGGGGGCCAATATTCAACATTCTTAAAGAAAACAATTTTCAACCCAGAATTTCATATCCAGCCAAACTAACTTTCATACGTGAAGGAGAAATAAAATCCTTTACAGACAAGCAAATGCTTAGAGATTCTGTCACTACCAGGCCTGCCCTACAGGAGATCCTGAAGGAAGCACTAAACATGGAAAGGGACAACTGGTACCAGCCATTGCAGAAACATGCCAAATCGTAAAGATCATCGACGCTAGGAAGAAACTGCATCAACTAATGAGGAAAATAACCAGCTAATATCATAATGACAGGATCAAATTCACACATAACAATACTAACCCTAAATGTAAATGGACTAAATGGTCCAATTAAAAGACACAGACTGGCAAATTGGATAAAGAGTCAAGTTTACTGTATTCAGGAGACCCATCTCACATGCAGAGACACACATGGGCTCAAAATAAAGGGATGGAGGAAGATCTACCAAGCAAATGGAAAACAAAAAAAGGCAGGGGTTGCAATCCTAGTCTCTGATAAAA